ACCGTATCGTAGGCTGGAACTCTCTGTCAAAGTTATCAACATTTCCTTGTTGATACACATTGATAGCCTCTACAAGGGCGGGAGCGGCAAACTGTTCTCTCCAGCAGACCAACTCCCCTGGCATGCTTTGGCCGATTTTTACTCTTTCCAGCCGCTTTCCGAAGCCTGGTAGAGGCTATGACGAACTGTGTTGTTCGTAGCCTGGTTACCAAACCTATTTTAGCTCCCCAGACTGGCAGTCCTACATCCTCTATGCTCTAGGATGTAGGACTCGGGAGCTAAAATAGGTTTGGTAACCAGGCTACACATGTGCGGCCCCCGGGCATGAACTACTGATACTTTGCAAAAAACTTCATACCTTTACGTGATACGTGATAATTCTTGCTTACTTTGATAATTCTGATACTCCCTAAACATTTACATATATCCATCCAAATATTTCATGGCTCCATATTAAAACAGGGACAGATTAACTACACACACGCCAACATGAAGTAATGACAGTACAGTACAGTGCAACTGGATATTATTTTGGGAACGGTCCAAACGGAAACGGTACGGTAAAATGGTTCTTGTTTTTCCCCAGGTGCCCAGGATGACGTCACAAGTGCGGCAGAACTTCCACGAGGACTGTGAGGCGGGATTGAACAAGCAGATCAACCTGGAGCTGTACGCTTCGCAGGTCTACATGTCCATGGTACGGCGGGGCAAATTTCCGTCTCGTAAACGGTCGTCACCTTTCAGAACGGTCGTCGCCTTTCAGAACGGTCGTCGCCTTTCAGAACGGTCGTCGTCTTTCAGAACGGTCGTCGCCTTTCAGAACGGTCGTCGCCTTTCAGAACGGTCGTCGCCTTTCAGAACTGTCTTCACCTTTCAGAACGGTCGTCGCCTTTCAGAACGGCCGTCGCCTTTTCTCAGAACGGTCGTCGCCTTTCAGAACGGTCGTCGCCTTTCAGAACGGTCGTCGCCTTTCAGAACGGTCGTCGCCTTTCAGAACGGTCGTCGCCTTTCAGAACGGTGGTCGCCTTTCGACGCCATATCGCTGACTGGTCGATGCCATATCCGAGCGTATCCTAACTAACTTTTTTGAGGTCCAAAAACGTATAACGCGAAATTCATACTATAAAAAGCAACATTCGAATTGCAAATACACACTTATAGTTAGCCATTCTGCGACATGGCATCGACCGTTTCAAAAGGCGACGTCCGTTTATGAGACGGAAATTAAGTACGGCGGGTTAGCGGGAATCTCCGAGCAGATTTCTGGGGGACCACACAGTATCCAACCGTCCACGCCAACGAGGAGCAACTGGATATGGTATATGGCCGGTTGGACAGTATCTTGCCCAAGTTGCCCCCAAAAGATCTGCCTGGAGATAATGTTAACGGTTCATTTCCAAGTTAATTAATTGTTCTTTGCACATGAAAGGAGTGCAATTGACACAGCAAATTTTGCGAGCGAAACCAGCCGAATAGACAATGACACCTGCTTACCTTCTATTGGTCTTGCGCTGGTCATTGTTGTGTTTTTTTGAGATCTAGAGCAGATCTAGGGTTGAAATAGACGCGTTTCAAAAAGATAGCACACGCGTAACTCACTTCTCAATACTTTAAGTCAGAAGATTTGTTGAGACGAGAACTTTAATTTCTCTCTTTTCTGTAGGCGTCCTACTTTGGCCGTGATGACGTTTCCCTCCACAACTTTCAAAAGTTCTTCAACCACGCCTCGGACGAGGTGCGCGAGCATGCGCGGAAGCTGCAGAGTTACCAGGCCATGCGTGGAGGGAGAGTCGTTCTTCAGACAGTACAGGTGAGGCATACCGCCTAGCGAAACTCTGAAGAACTGCAAAGCCGCAGACGTTAACTTGTCCTTCCGAGATATAGAAAAAGAAGGCGGCTGTTATGACGGATTTGTATGACGGAAGCGGATAATTACCTCCGGGGAAGGAGATATCCTTCCGCGAGGAGGTTTTACTATTGTTCGAAACATTTCTGTCAGCAGCTGTTTCTCGCGATCGGCTGGACGGATTGGTCTGTTGTTCGGTATACGTATTACTATTGGGCTGCAGATGATGCAGAACGTTTTTGTTTAATTGCATATGTGCTTATGGGCGTCGAAATAAAAGGTTTTTAAGTGCTCCGGACACCCCCGTTATGCTGAAAATGGAATTTACCATGTTGTTAAGGAATGGGGAGGTTGCAGTTTTGGGTCTTAGCATTCAAAAGGGGTCAAACAGAGGGGTGTCTGGTTCCGATAAAAAATTTGGGTGACGGCGGGGGTAATGGCGCGGGTGACGGTGTAGGCTGTCAGACACGTTAATCAACAGTCCATACCAAACCAACCGTCAGTAGCCATCAAACACATACAAACATATTACGCACATAACTTTCATACTACACACAAATAACCTAAACCAATACAATACAAAAAAACCCGGAGGTTTGAAATCTACGATTTTCCTTGTTAATACTAAAAAAAATTGATAGGAACAAAGGAAATGGGGAAAAGCGGGCAAAGAGAGAAAGAATTGGAAAGAAAAGTGGGTAAGAATTTTTTTCTTTACAGAAACCTGAGCGTGATGAGTGGGGCAGCGGACTGGACGCCATGAGGGCCGCCCTGGCGCTGGAGAAGAACATCAACCAGGCGCTTCTGGACCTGCACAAGGTGGCGGGCAGCAGGAACGACCCACAGGTGGGTGTATGGAAGGGTGGGTTAGATGGTAACCCAGGCTGGACCTGCAGTAGGTGGCGGGCAGCAGGAACGACCCACAGGTGGGTGTATGGAAGGGTGGGTTAGATGGTAACCCAGGCTGAACCTGCACAAGGTGGCGGGCAGCAGGAACGACCCGCAGGTGGGTGTATGGAAGGGTGGGTTAGATGGTAACCCAGGCTGGACCTGCACAAGGTGGCGGGCAGCAGGAACGACCCGCAGGTGGGTGTATGGAAGGGTGGGTTAGATGGTAACCCAGGCTGGACCTGCAGTAGGTGGTGGGCAGCAGGAACGACCCACAGGTGGGTGTAGGGAATCAAAGGTTGTACGGTTACCAAATTGGACCTAGTAGGTGGCAGACAGCAGGAACAGACCACAGGTTTGGGTCAGTTAAGTTCTATAGGGTCAGTTAGAACTTAACCCATGTTGGTTATGAGGGTTCTAACTTCTAACACAACACCTTTGTCCTGTTGCAGATGCAAGACTTCCTGGCGAGTGAGTTCCTGGGCGACCAGGTCCACTCCATCAAAGTGCTGGGGGATCACGTCACCAACCTGAAGCGTACAGGCGCGGGACTAGGAGAGTACATGTTCGACAAGTTCACTCTCGGGAAGGACGAGCTGTGAGACCGCCGCTATTTTCCGTCTCGTAAACAGTCTGGTTGTCGCCTTTTGAAACGGTCGATGGCATATCGCAGAACGGCTAACTAAGTGTATCAGCACGGTCCATCCACACCGTGATGTTTTGTGGTGTAGAGGTTTAGTGTATAAGTTAGGGTTTTAGAGCTACGGTTTTTGATCCGGGTTCAAATCCGAGCTTGTGATTTTTCTTTTTTCGAATCCGCTAATGCCGTTACTATTTTTCATGATCCTTCCTTACATTTGCAATTCGAATGTTGCTTTTCGTAGTATACATTACGTTTTATACGTTTTTGGACCTCAAAAAAGTTATGATACGCTCGGATACGGCATCGTCCAGCGATATGGCATCTAAAGGCGACGACCGTTCAGAAAGGCGACGACCGTTCTGAAAGGCGACGGCCGTTCTGAAAGGCGACGGCCGTTCTGAAAGTCGACGACCGTTCTGAAAGGCGACGGCCGTTCTGAAAGGCGACGACCGTTCTGAAAGGCGACGACCGTTCTGAAAGGCGACGACCGTTCTGAAAGGCGACGACCGTTTACGAGACGGAATTTTGCATGTCGGATCGGGACCATTCCTGAAGAACACAGGGGGTGCCAAAGAATTCATACGAATTTTACGGAATCCATACGAATTTTACGGAATTCATACCATCCATTACTAGGAAACATACGAGTGTTGCGGAATACATACGATCATTATGAGGAAACATACGATCCTTTCTTGCGCTACGAAAATGTATGAAGTCTTTGGCACCCTTGTGGAACAGTCGTTACTAACGTCCAAGCAGATATTGTAAAGGAACAATATAACGTTCACGTGTCTGACTACCAGGTTTTGTTGCTTTGTTTTGCATTTCTTTCTTGCATTTGTTTACTGAAAGTCGACCTTACCTCGGAAAAAGAAAGCGGACAATGAATATTATAATATTTTAATACAATTCCTGCTTATCGTTTACTCAATAGGACTACATGTATATAGAAGCATTCTGTAAAATCTTTTACTAGATTTAGGAGAGAATCCTCACATATACATGTGTAATAGCATTTTATTAAAAGGAGTGATGAAAACTCAATGGTTGCAGAATCCTGACCAACAGTAGCTGCAATAATCTTTTCAACCGTTTAGGGGCGCTTTTCTAGCTTGTATCGGTGCAATTTCAAGTTCTCAAATTGTAGTTCGTTACTTGAATTATCAAAAGTTGATAGATGTTATGAATATTTTATATGACAAAATTTCCAATTAAAACATCATTGCCATAAATTTGGTACTCATGTACTTTCTAATAATTCTATGTTTGATACACTAGAACAATTCTCTGGTTACCATAACTACTTCATTTGACTTTCATGACTAAAAATGAAAAGTCACTTGATGAAAAGTCCAGGCAATGTTTTATTCCTTCATGTACATTTTCTATGTGAAAATACCAGGGTACTCAGCAGACAATAGTGGGAATTTATCATCTCTAATAAGAGGAACACAGTCTGGTTTTACCTTCATTGCCTTTCATTCATGAACAAGGTACACATTATAGGTGCAAACCCTAGAGGATTGTAAGGTTTCCACTATTAGTCTTCATCCCCCAACCCCTTAGATTCTCATGATAGTTGCATCTTGTGCACAGCAAATCAACTGTTCTGGTTCAAACTGCAATACAAACAAGACGTCACAGTGTTCAAAGAAAGTGTATTTGCTACCTATCCCAAACATTTCACACTGATGAGAACAAAGTCAAAGCACACCTCTTAGTTGCTGTTTGCAATAATAACTAGCACCACACGGTGGCGCTTCTGTATCAAACTTGTCTATAAGGCCACACCAAGTAAATTTTATGGATGACATCCCCGCGCGCATTGATTTCGGCCTGTTCCTAGAAAAAAAAACAAGAAATTCCACTTCCTGTAACTATGACCAAAGAGTCACGACAGTGCCGCAAATCGTCAGATTGACGTGAAACCCGTAACGCACGAAGAGGGCAGGAGGACAACTGCTGTTCCACCTGATTTATTGCTGTTTTGATGATGAATAAAAGACTTCTTGCTTGTTACACTGTGTCACCTCATTCAAATTGTGTCCTAACATTTGTCGTCTCTTAGTATATTTCTTATCTAGGCATCTTGTTTTTTAGGGCCCTTCTTGTTTTTTTTTTCAACCTCTCGCATTAGATTTAGGGTCTCCAAAGGACGTCATCCATAAAATTTACTTGGTGTGGCCTAAAACCCAGAAACCAAACAGACACACAAAGTACTTTTCAACACATAATAATGATAACAATCTCTTAATAAATATCATCTTAAGTTTTCAACCATAACAACAAAACAATGCACTCACTCACTGTAGGAAGCAATTGTAAGAATTGAGTGAACATTTGAGTATCTTGTGTTGCTGGCATGTTTGGTTTACAAAGCTACCTGATAGATATATTAACAGTCATTTCCAGCAAAAACTGTATTCAGAAATACAGCTACGGACATATATTGGGAAGAACAGTTCCAAGTGTATCTTTTATTGTGCAAAGAATAGACAATTACATTCAGAAAAACCAAGAACTGTTTTCATTTCTTTCATATGTACAGAAATCTTTCCTTTTTGCTGCTTTTCGATTTTTCTCCGGGAAAATCCAAGGACCAATTAACTTGAAACAAGTACAATGTACAATGAAAGGTTCTCAATATTAACGTTAGTCAATACGTAAATATGTACATAGCAAGCATGACCTATCATTTCCATTTGGTCAACAATCAGTTTACAGTCTTCAGACCAGATACAAAAACTACAGGAACACTACATCTTCATCCTACACCTGTGTATTAATGAATCTCCCCTGATCAAATGCAAAAACAACAATATCAGTATCACATGCTGGAAACACAATTTAAACATCAGAAGCCTTTCAGTGATGTAGTAAGGACTGAAAGTTACCAGTATTTTACCCTCATAACCATAGTGACACCAGTTTGTAGGAAAAGTCACACATTTGAAATATTTACATAGAAACTGTTTCCTTAACTGAAAGAAGAGCTAGCAATTTTGGAGCCACCATGCCAACATGGGAATCACTGGTGTGACTAAATCAGTACATATCCTTGACCTTGGTTCTTAGATTTGAAAATAAACTAAGATTAACATTAAAGACAGAGTCTGAAAGAAGTGTCTGTACTTTGGTACAAACAGCTTTAGAGAGAGAAAATGAATAAGTTTTCTTCCCACCCCTCCTTGGTTTTGGTTTGTCTTCTCACTAAATTTATCCTTTAAAATGTTCAAGAATCAAACCAAGGAAATGAATCAATGTGGTTTAACTGTTATGACAAACAACTTAAATGATGACAAAGCCCCGAAGTTTACAGCACACAACCTAGACTAGCATGTCGGCAGAACATACTGCACCTGCGCGAAACCCGTAATGTATTGTGCATAGCACTTCGGCAGAACGTCTCATATAAGGTTGTATGTGCACATATATATTAACATATCGTCTGTAGTTTTCAAATGTTATGTCAGAAAAGATATCGTCCGCAACAGGTAAAATTCTTATGCAACCTTGACCAAACTTCCAACGAAAACCGTGGAAAATCAGGGTTTTGCGCTGACGCGGTACATTCTGCCAACGTGTACTGTTGACCTAGCCTCCCCGTGCAGACTGCCGTAGGTGTGGTCACAAGCTGGGGTGGGTGTTAGTCTGAACCTTCATGACGTGGTTGTAGATCTTGAGGGCGGGGCCAAGTTTGATTGACATGCCCGTCAGGACGTCACTTCGCTTCAGCAGCAGGAACGCCGGCCCGTCAATCTCCTGAGAGAAGAAAGGACGAGATTCTTTCCATCAAAAACTGCGCAATGTTAGGTAAACAACACTGTTACACGTAGGTAAAAATTTGGAAATATTTTGAGGATTTGAATAAGGCCTAGGAAAAAAAATGTTGTTGTTTCCTGTTTCTCGACCGACCCTAGAAAATAATGCCGACCCTAGTTTTTTTGGTGGGACATAAATTTGTCTGCAAGGGACACAAATTTTTTGAGCTGATTGACCTTTTCTAGCTCCATGATCTGACATCTGAGTGCAGAAACGTACAATTAAGTTTCCAACTTGTAAGTGTTCTCATACAAGTTTTGCAATGTTAAACTGTATTGTACAAGTTGGATCACAGTAGTTACATATATATATATATATAGAGAGAGAGAGGTCGCCAAGGTAAAAAAAAAAGACAGAAAAGAATGATAGTCCCTACCTACCGACCCTAATTTTTTCAGGACTGAAACAGGAAACACAACACGCCAAAAAGCAGTTACTCAAGCAACTGGATATGATTTTGGAAGTGGTCAGACGTTTCAGCTAGTATCCACTAGCTTTCGTCAGTGACTGAGAGACCAGAGGAGAAATGCAGGTTTATAAGCGCAAACTATTGATGCCACACAACATTTTTTCCTTTTGGTCCAACACAAAAAATTCTCTCACCTAGAGCTTTCGACCAGTCACTCTGGTCTTCCTCAGTAGACTGTCACGTGAAGCTTGTCACGTGGCTTCTTGTGAGTGTTGACGTCAACACTGGGTGAGAGAATTTTTTGTGCTGGAGTACAGAACACTTAACGATACTACTAATAT